AATGTTCATACCCTTTAACACATTTATTCAAGTTCTGAGGATTTACCTTAAGGAAACAATTTTTTAAAACAGAAAAAAATATATGTAGCAGTTTATTTGTTGCAATGTCACTTCAATATTAAATATTGAAGTGATCTAAATATATAAGAAGGAAACAACTTAGTAAATTATGTTTCATTATACAACTATTAATTATTATGAAAACTACATAAATATATAATAAGTGAAAATCAGAATAAGATTTCATTTACTGTAATTACAGTTACATAAAATTCTTATATACTTAGAGAAATAGTATAGGTAATATAGAATAAAAGACAACAATGAAATGGATTTAGATTTTTCAAAAAATATACTTTGTAAAGATTGTTTTCTCCATAGATTTATTAAAGCATACTTGTCCAAAAAATTATATATATATTTAAGGTATACAATGTGATATTTTATACAAATATGTATTGTGAAATGATTACCACAGTCAAGCAAATATATCCATATTATCCATCTTGTAATTATCTTTATGCATGTGTTTATGTTGAGAAAACTTAAGATCTATTCTCAGAAAATTTCAAGTATATAATAAATTATTAATAATTTTGGTCCCCATGCTCTACATTAGGACTTCAGAACTTATTCATTTTGTCAAACAACTCCCCTTTTCTTCCACTATCCAACCTCAGACAACATGAAAATTCATTACCATGAATTTGACATTTTTATAGGTTTGCATATATGTGAGATCATGCAGAATATTTCTGGGCCTGGCTTATTTTGTCCCGCACCTTTTACAGTAATCAATAAATTATGTGAGATGCATGATACTTAATTATAAAATAAGCTTTATGTTAGATGATTTTGCCCAACCGTCAGCTAATATAAGTGTTCTGAACATGTTTAAAGTAGGCTAGGTTAAGCTATGATGTTTGGTAGATTAGGTGTGCTTACAACAAATTCATTAGAATGTAAATGCATCCTGAGTTGAGGAGCATCTGTATATACCACAATTTCTGATGCTTAGGTTATTTCCATATCTTCACCATCATGAGAAATGCCACACAGATATGGGAGTACAGATATCTTTATGAGATGCTGGTTTCATTTCCTTTATGTATATGCCCAGTAGAGGCACTGCTGGATAATATGGTAGTTCCCCTTTTAATGTTTTGAGGGATATCAGTACTGTTTTCAGTAATGAAGTATCAATTTACATACCCACCAATGCTTTGTTATCTCCTCTGCTTTCCATAATAATCATTCTTACTGGTTATATTTCATTGTGATTTTGATTTGCATTCCTCTGATGATTAGTGATGCTGGACATCTTTTCATGTATCTGTTAAAAGCTGGGAATGGAACTACCATTTGACCCAGCTATTTCCCTTCTTGGACTATTCCCTAAAGACCTTAAAAGAGCATGCTATAGGGACACAGCTACAACAATGTTCATAGCAGCACAATTCACAATAGCTAGACTGTGGAACCAACCT